GTATGCATTTTATTTTTATCTATAAAATCAACCTGTTTCTCCATGCAACACCTTGTTTAACACTTGAACCGTACCTAGGGGTACAATAAAAATAAATTGGTATATGATTACTTTTTGTTTCACAATCTGATTTTTTTGCACTGCTGTGTATTTGCATGGGATGGAGGGTTGCGTTAAAGCATCAGTCAATTGTAAGATTATCATCAGATTGTACTCTACTAAAGGTACAATTCTCAGTTCATATATATATATATATATATATATATATATATATATATATATATATATATAATATATATATATATATATATATATATATATATATATATATATATACAGTGCTTTTTTCTAAAAAAATAGGTGCCGGGACTCACCAGTATTTTTGTCTTTATGTATCTATATATCAAAGAGGAGGGAGAAATTAGCAATTCAATTCATACCCAATAAGACGGGAACAAATAAATGTAGCCTTTTTCCAATGTAAAAAGCTTTTTTTTTTTTTCCAAAATAATGAAGTTTTTTTTTTTTTTTTTTGTTGGGGGGGGGGGGGGGGGAGTTGAGGATGATAGGACATGTCACTGTATACAAAATACAAACTTTTTAAAGCAAGAAACTTTTATTACAAATCCCATTGTTTTTTCCAATTTTTATTAGAAATTTTCCGCTTGTCTCCTTTTCTTGCTCTTAGACTTAGTGTCTACTGCTGAAAGACTTCCGCTAAATAACTACAAATCAATGTACTTTGAAGAATCAAAGCTTGCTAGGGGTGGTCTCATCAATTTAATGAATAACAATGTTGAAACAAACAACTGTTTTTTTCTTTAATGAAGTCCTTGTTTGTGTGATGATCAGATTCATCTGTAAAAATCCACGTTTGCATTAACTTGAGGAAATAGGGATAGTATGTAGAGCGTGTACCAAATGAACTAAATGTGACTCTGCTATTTTTGAGGGAAGCTTGATACATGATGTAAAGCTAATCAAGAAATGATTTGAATCTGTTAATACTTAAGATCTCCCTAATGGTCCCTAATAATCGCCTACTAATAGTTCCAGTCTATGATTAGCACAATGCCAAACTATAACAGAAGGAAAATTTTTTGTGATTAATTTGAAAATGCCACACTCACATTCTACCATCACATGCTACAGAAACTAAATAATTAATCAAATATTCTTCTTTCATTCCATAAGAATGAATACATTTAAATAAATCATCAAATAATCCTTATCCATAACGCTTTTAAGTTCCACTAAGTCCCAAAATAAATTAATTGGTGAATTCTTTACACTGCCTTTTACACAGCATCAAATTTACACTATCAGTGTTAATTTTTGACTTATAGTGGTTGAGTTATCGATTTTTAACGAAACCTTACTCTTTGATTTTATGACTTATAATTTTTTTCCTCATTTCGTTTCCTAAATGATTGACTATATTAATGCATGCATTTGTATATAGGGATTGTAAATAGGGATTACGGCCTATTTCAATTCTGTTAACTTCTTGAAGATCAATTTCCATTTCAAATTTATTAAAGGACTGGTTTCTTTTTTCAACTTTATATGCAGATCGAAAAATGTTTGCTGTTACAATTTTCTCATGCGTTAAAGACTTTAAAATATTGTTTGAAAGAGTCTCTTTTTTAGCTTCTTCTACTATCTTTAAAGGGACCACCAAGTCCCGAGACATGTTGTGTTCATATTAAAGAGAACTTTAAAAAAAAAAGGTCTGAGCAAATTTTTTTTGATTAAAACTAATTAATAAATGTATACCAAGAAAAACAAATCTTGTTGTTTTAGTCGAAGCTTGTCTTCTCCATTTTCTGCAGTATTTGGAGTCTTTAAAATAAACGTGATTTTCCAGGCGCATTATACAGACTTGATAATTTATTCAAGTGCGTTTAATTCATAAAAGTTTTAGTATATGACGTCATAGATTTTTTTGTTTGTTTGTTTAAAACATTAATTATTATTTTTTACATTCAATTTCCAAATCATGTTCATTTTAAATTTCATGTTCATAAAAATCATGATCATTTTAAATTTATTTTAAAGTTCTAAAATGTGTTTGTAAAAAAATTAAAAACAAAATAGTATTTTATTTGAGCAACTTTTTTTAAATTATTCGTCTAGACCACATTTATTTTGATTTCTTTTGTTATAAGTTTTTTCTTTCAAAATAATAGATAAAATAAAATTCAACCGAAATAATATTGCACTTTTAATTTACTTTGTAAATATTAAAAAAAAATTATTAACGCATCTTTTCTATGATTTTCAAAAATGTATTTTTTGGTATTGAGGTGATCTTATTTCATTATTTATATTTCCATTATTATAACATCCAATATATATTATGGCGGGGGCTTAAAAATTAATATATATTAATTTTTATTTTATGGACATGCATGATAACATAATTAACTTGAATGTTCTTAAAACGCCTTGCAGAAGAATAAAAAGAATATCTGCTAACACTAAAAACCCGCCAAATTTATGAACAAACTAATTTTATTGGTTCAAAAAATATGCTGACTAAGCGAAATAAAGTTCTAGAGTGTTCTGTTGAAATGTTTTACCAATTGTTTTATTCACAATTTGTTGCGTTTTGAGATATCTAGCATAAATTGTTTTAAGAATATATTATCAAATGAACTATTACTTTAATATTATGGCTCATTCTCTGAGCCACATCTGCAAAGCTGTAAATATTTTAAACTATTATCATTTGTTTACAAAAATAAATGTTTAATAATATATATTTTTTAAATTGCAAAAATTTTGAAAGTTAATTACAAATTATATATTTTATTAGTATATTCTTATTTTTTATATCTCTTCCTAGCGCTTGGTTTAATTAATTGTTCGTTAGATTTGTCAAAACAATTTGCATTAAAATGTAAAGAACACACTCGTGAATCATCGGAGATATTTTATAACCCGATTTGGCGCCATAGAGGTCCCTAGGTCCACCATCGCCGTGGCCCATGTAGCCACGGCTCTGATAGCTATAAAAAACATAAAATGTTTTTCAATGTAAAAATTTTAGAAAATAAAATAACTAACTATAGTTAGCTATTTTAGTAAATTTAATAGTAAAATTTTTAAAGAATTTCTAGAATGTTTCTAATGACGTCATCTACTAAAACTTCTATAAATTAAACACACTTGAATAAATTATCAAGTCTGTATAATGCGCCTGGAAAATCACGTTTATTTTAAAGACTCCAAATACTGCAAAAAATGGAGAAGACAAGCTTCGACTAAAACAACAAGATTTGTTTTTCTTGGTATACATTTATTAATTAGTTTTAATAAAAAAAAATTTGCTCAGACGTTTTTTTTTAACATTCTCTTTAATATGAACACAGGACTTGGACACAGGACATGTCTCAGGACTTGGTGGTCCCTCTAATGAAGCTTGATATCCAGCGGTTTCTTTGTGATCAACTATTTTTTTACGTAGTAAACTAAACTGTGCTTTTTATCTTTGCCATGATAAGAAACTTCATATTTAGATCATTCTTTTGATATTTTCATTCTTATCATAAATTTTACGCCAAGTGGTTTCACTCTTTGGCAGGTAAGTGCATCTAAGTGGTTTCACTCTTTGGCAGGTAAGTGCATCTAAGTGGTTTCACTCTTTGGCAGGTAAGTGCATCTAAGCTTTTTTGTCGAAAACAAAGTCACTTGTTTTTGGAATAAAACTCTGTTTTTTCTCTCAAGTCCAACAACCAAAAAAAAGTTAATTTATCAAAAAAAAAGGTGTTGGAACGCCATTTCAGTGCAATGTAGGAGAAAAAAAGCACTGTATATATATATATATATATATATATATATATATATATATATATATATATATATATATATATATATATATATATATATATATATATATATATATATATATATATATATATATATATATTATGAAATTTTTTTTGATTAATCAATAGTTATTGTTGTTGAATAATTATTGCGTAAAAAAAAAAATGATTTTTTCTTTTTAAAAATTTCGGGAGTAAACAAAAAATATTAAAATATTGATAAACTAAAACCCTTGTTAATTATTTAAACAGCGATTTTGTTTTGACTAGTAAAGAATAATTTAGGTTTTGAAGTATTTTTTAAATTCATGTTGCTTAGCATTTTCACTTATATAAAAATATAAAAAAAGTTTAATGTCTGTTTTAAGCGTATTTTTGATACAAAGTTAGAATGCGTTATACCAGGTATTTAATGCATAAATGTTTTACATTATCGTAAAAAAGTTTTACATTTAAACATATCACAAAGAAACACAGAGCTATATAGAATATTCATTTTTAACGATGAAATTTTTTTTTTTTAATTTTTTTTTTAAATTTTATTAAAATAAAAAATTAAAAATTTAATTAAATATAAAATATTCTTGATTATGCAAACTTTTGTTAATTATTTTTAAAGCAAAAAATTTTTTAATACTTCTACGCAATATTTTAATCGTGCAAACTAAAAAAAAATACTCAACTAAAACAAAATATAAAAAAAAAGTACTCAACTAAAACAATACAACTCAACTAAAACAATATAATTATATTTAATAATTTGAAGTGTATCTGTTTATAATAAACATTCGTTAAAATTTGTTCATTAAAAATTAAGTTCCTTAACTTATAAACAAACTCAAAAGTATTTTCATTCTATGCAAAATTACAAAACTCTTTTTTTTTCACTTGCAACCAATTTAATTTAAAGAAATAAAATAAAAAAAAGGAGAATATGAGGTAATTAATAAAGAAAAATTTAATTTATTTATTGAAGAATATTTAAAATTATTTATATACTAATTTAAATAAAAAATACTAACTAAATTATTTTATTAATTTTTAACTACTAAATAAATATTTTAACCATATAAATATTTTAGCCATATTTAAACCGTTAGGCAGTTGCCCTTACGGTACCATTGGTTTTGGATAAAATTTTATTTTTAATGAAGATTGCAAAAATTACAT